TCTACCTTAGCCCCAAATTATCATAAGCCAACCTCCAGGCGGCACCTGGAGATCTCCAGCTATTAAAACTGATGTCCAGATGACCAAGATCAGTTCTCCTGGAGACAATGGCTCCTTTGGGCAGTGGATTCTATGCAATTATACCCTACTGAGGTCCCTCCCCACCCCAAATCCTGCCCTCCCCAGGCTCTACCCCTCAAATCTACAGGTATTTCCCAACCCAGAGTTGGCAACCATGTAATCAGCTATGGAACTACTTTCCAGACCCTTGGAACCCAGAAAACATGGCACAGGAGGAGGTGCTTTTCTACCTTAGCTGCCACTGCATAACACCCCCCTCCCCCTCAAAAAATAAGTCAGAGGTGGAGAGAACCATATCTGTTACCATGAGGCTGCCCTCCCATTCTACCCACTTGGGGCAGCAAAATGACTTGAGACAGCCCTGCCTTATAGCTAAGCAGAAGGAAAGAAACATGGCTTGCCTCCCTCCATTTCCTGCTTCCCTCTGACGCCCCACCAGCCACAGTCGGGACACTCATCTGGAGCTTCCTTCTAGATCTCGTTGTATTTCTTCCCACAACGGGCATTACTCCTAGTTTAAAAATAAAACAAAAGAACCACATAGCATGTTTCATTAAGCCAAGACATAGTAGTGTGCAAGCGTTTGAGCTCTCTGAAACTCTTGTTCAGGCTAGATGTTTTTTTTTTAAGCCAATTAAATGGGAGAAGAGAGAAAGGAACTAAAATAAGTTTCAGGCCAGGGTCTTAAACCTCTTGTTTTGCATCCCGTGTGAAATGATAAAATAGGTTTGACTAGAAGACTACTAGGTGCTGCTGCTGTTGGATTGCACCTTAGACTTCCAGACGGAAGAAGTCAGTGCGGTATAGCAGCTGGAGTGCTGAACAAGGATCTTGTAGAAAATCCCTTTCTGCCATAGAAGGTGCTGGATAACATTGGACCCTTCACACACTCAGACACATTTGTTGTGAGGATAAAAGGGAGGGAGGGAGAATGATACCGTAAGCCACTTTGTGTCGCTTTTGGAAAGAAACGTGTGGTTTAAATATTCAAATAAATAAGAGGGAACGTGGCCACGTCCAGTAAGATACCCACCATCTGTATGGGTGCAGGAGAGTAGAGTTGCCAACCTCCAGGTGGTGGCTGGATATCTGGGATTACACCTGATCTCCAGACAACAGAGATCAATTGACCTGGAGAAAATGGCCACTTTGGAAGGTGGACTCTACGGCATTATACCCCATTGAAGTCCCTCCCCTCCCCAAACCCCGCCCTCCTCAGGCTCCACCCCCCAAATCTCCAGGTATTTCCCCACCCGGAACTGGCAACCCTATAAGAGAGGGAAGAAAAGGAGTCAGTTCTGTAGATGATTAGTACTTATCAATAGGCTAACTAATTCATTTATTTGTTCGATTTTTATTCTGCTCTCCCTCACGATTGTGGGGCTCTGAGCAGATTACAACATAAA